TAATAATAATTGTTATTTATAATAACAATAATAATTAATGACGTTTAATAAAGGTATAATACTAAACCGAGCATGATTTGAACATACTTGAAGAGTAGCCGAGTTGGTTAGCCAGCGTTTGTTGTCTTCCGTAGGTTGCGTGTTCTATTCCCGCGGTTGTAAATTTTGTTTTTCAGCTTCTTTTTCTATTCTCTTTAATCTTGTCCCACACTGGAAAATGAGAAGCTTCCTACTCCAAAACTTCAATATAAATAAGGTCCCCTTAGTGTAGAATGCCAAGATATGGTCTTGGAAGCTAAGTTACGTTCTGGGCTTCCATTGGGCTAATTGGGCTCAAATATTGGCAAGTTCCAATGGGCTTTAATCAATTGAATATCAGTTCAAATTTATTTATTACAATTTAGTCGGTTTCTTTCGGTTTCCGCTAAACCGAACCGAAAAAATCGGGTACCAAAAATCGGTACCCGTTCGGACAACGGTTCGGTTCCGGTTTTGATAATTTGGTAAACCGAAATATTGGTTCGGTTCGGGTATATACTGAATCGGTTCGGAACCCTAACCGAAACCAGCCCTACTTTCTACACCCCGATGACAGTTGCCCTTTCGTTCGCCAGGTGGGGGATCGACTGTTAGTATATATGTCCTAGCGACAATCACTTTTTAGAGATATATGTACTTGATCACATTCAGTTTTATATATTTGATATATACGGTATTACACATTGATGATTAAGTATATCGATTGTCAATATCTTATTCATAATTATGTTCCCTTGGACTTATGTTGTCAATAAGTAAGTGGGAGTTTATATGATATAACATAAGGTCCTAAAATAGCCCAATCAATGATCATCAAGAATGGGATATTGATGATATGCGATAAGATTGGTATGTGGACTACATTATACTTTTAGAAAGTATAGTTGATCTCACAACTATGAGTTCCTGTAATTCATGATGGTCACATAGATATTTTAGATAATATTGGCATACCCACCGAGAAACCATTTGATAAGTTCTATTCATGTGTCTATGGGATTATCGGCGTATAGAGTAGTGTAACAGTCCTTCGACTTGAGGTCAATATGTACTACATGTGCGGAGTGATGTACTTTGACCATGACCAATGCTTGCACTCCAATCGGGGTAGATACGGCATGTGTTGGGTGCATCACGAAGCACATGGAGTAGTAGTTGAGCCAAGAAAGAATTCATTCCTCATAATAGATTAAGAGAGAACATTCTACTTCTCATATCTAGATGGATCATAAAGTCATTGGCCAATGCAAATATATATTCATTTTGGATATCGAATATGATCATTATGGATCATCTAGAAAGATTGAGAGATAGAGACTAAGTTATTGGAATAGACACAATATCAAGTTCTAGACTTAGTTGAATGTTCGCTGAATGAAAGGACCGTATCACTATGAGCTCTATATTACAAGGATTTTGAATAGTCCTCGCAAACGTCCTTATATATTAAGTTTGTCTGGTAAATCGTCTAGGGATTCTACTAAGATCTTAATTTGATTAGTGCTTAATATATAAGGCCCTATGGGTCACACAACAAGTGATTATACCTTCCGATTGAATTGTTAGAAGGAATTAAATATTATTAATTGGATTAAATAATATTTAATTAGTAATACTGAAAATAGATTAAATATTAATTAGATTAATATATTTAATTTATTGTGTTGAAGGAAAGTTCTATTTGATAGAATTAATTAAGTGTGATAAATTAGATTTATTGTACTTAATTAAGATGTATTTTTAATTAAATAAAGTTGATATTTTTCTTTATGATTTGGAATCTAAAAGAAAAGGAAATAAAATAAATAATAATATATAGGAAAAATTGACAAGAATAATCCAACCTTTCATCGGTCTTCTCAAAATAATCTCACATTTACGTAATCCCAGAATAATCTCACATTTGCACCTCATCTTCTTTCGTTGGACCCTGACCTGTTGATGACCTACCATACCAGGTTTTTGACCCTTTCTTTGAAAACCTTATATAAATAATCTCAACTTTCACAAATCTGCTCAAAACGGTCCCATTTTTAATTTTCTTTTTTCTCCCTAAAGTTTTTCTTTCTTTATTTTCATCTCTAGACATTTTTTTATATCTTTTTCTATCATTTTGTTCTTATTTCTTTTCAATTTTTATTATTTTATTTTCACTCTGTTAGGAGAGATTTTTTTTTATAAATTTCTCTTTAAAATAGCTCTTTTTTGTCAGATTCTTTTTCTTTCCGTATTTTTATTACATTTCCTTTTTTATGTTTTTCTTCTTAATCATTCTCTTCTTATTAAAGATCTTATTTTAAAAGTGAAAATATAAAAGTGGAAGAGTGAAAAAAACATAACAAAAAGTAAAGTGAGAAAAGTAATCTTTAAAAAGAAGAGAATGATTAAGAAGAAAAACATAAAAAGGGAAATCAAATAAAATACGGAAAGAAAAAGAAAACGACAAAAAAAGTTACTTTGAAGAGAAATTTTACAAAAAAAACTCCTAAGAGAATAAGAAATAAAATAATAAGAATGGAAAAGAAATAAGAAAAAAAGGATAGAAAAAGGAATAAAAAGTGTCTAGGGATGAACATAAAGAAAGAAAAATTTTAGGTAGAAAAAAGAAAAAATAAAACATGAGACCGTTTTGAGCAGATTTGTGAAATGTGAGATTATTTATAAAATGTTTTCAAAGAAAGGGTAAAAAACCTGGTATAGTAGGTCATCAACTGGTCAAGGTCCAATGAACGAAGATGAGATGCAAAGGTGAGATTATCTTGGGATTACGTAAATGTGAGATTATTATGAGAAGACCAGTGAAAGGTGGGATTATTCTTGTCAATTTTTCCTAATATATATAAGAAGTAGAGAGTGGCTGCACGCCACTTCTCTATTGTTGTTGTTATTATTATTTTATTTTATTTAATCTACTTATTTAATTAATAATGAAGTATTGGTCATATCAGGACTAGAACTCATTAATGAGCAAGACTTTCATTGTGATTGGGAAACTAGTTTAGAACTAGTATTAATACATCCTCCTCCTTCATAATTAATAGACCAGTTTTCAGATTCAGTATTACCAGTTTATTTCCCTGCGAAGAGATTTCCTAGCCTTTCTCTTAGGGAGATCTAACCGTTCTTTCGGAAACGAGAAATCACATGGATACCAAAGGTCAAGGATTATCACCGCTAGGCTGGAAGATCTGTAAGTTCTAACTCAGATCTGTTATTATTGTTATATTCGTTGTTTTGTCATAATCAGGGAAGATCTGTTTGGGAAAATGTTAAACTTCCGCTGCTCTACTTTCGAGGTACGTTACATCAATTTCCTAACATCGACTTGTTAGGGCCCCTACCTACTGCTCCCGGAGGACTAAAATACATCATCGTCGGGATAGATTATTTCACCAAGTGGGTGGAGGCCGAACCACTGGCAAATATTACAGATTTCAAATGCCAAAAGTTCGTCTGACAGAATATCATTTGCCGATTCGGTCTCCCTGAACAGATCATCACAGATAATGGCAGACAGTTCGTGAGCAGGAACTTCGAAAACTATTTGGTCAAATGGAAAATCAAACATTCCAGAGCATCTGTAGCATACCCTCAGGCGAATGGCCAAGTAGAAAACATGAACCGTACAATTATGGATGGTATGAAGAAAAAACTAGAGCACTATTCCTCCTCATGGCCGGACCAATTGAATTATATCTTATGGACATACAGAACGACACCCCGAACGGCTACTGGAGAGACTCCGTTTGCCCTTACCTATGGATTCCAGGCTAAAGTTCCAACAGAAATTCTGGTTCCCACACATCGAACGGTGCATTATGACCCCGAACGCAATGAGGATAATCTGCAGGCCAAACTGCACTTCATAGAGGAAAGAAGGGATTTAGCTGCAATACGAATGGTGGAATATCATAGAGCGACAAGGAGATACTTCGATAAACAAGTGAAAATCCGATCGATCAAAGTAGGAGGCTTGGTCCTGAAGAAGCGGGAAAAGAGCAAACCTCTCGAAGGAGGAAAGATGGCACAAAATTGGGAAGGCCCTTACGAGGTCTGCAAAAAATATATGCTTCAGGAACGTTCGGTCTGCAATCTCCCGAAGGCCGACCGGCAGGGACTTAGAATGTGGAGCATCTGAGGAAATTTTATCAATAAAAACGGCTGTTGTCACCTATTCAAAAAAAAGGAGAGGGAGACATAACTTCCAGAGAGTCTCACCTCAGCTTTTAACACGTAGAATCATTCCGGATGACCGAATGACGAACGTGTTAGCAGTTTGGAGGGAGCCATCATTTCAGCTAACAGCTTTTGACCCTATGATCACAAACGAATAGAGGGACCAAAACGGATTGGAGGGAATCACCTCAGCTAAAAGATTTTGACCCTGTGATCACGAACGGTAAAGGGATCAAAACGGCTTGGAGATGGTGTCAGAATAAGTATTGTCAAGACGAGCGACGTTCGGTAACATGGATTGTCGTCCGAGGAGGCATTGCTTTCAGAGAGTTTCATCTCAGCTTTTTAACACGTAGAATCATTCCGGATGACCGAATGACGAACGGGTTAACAGTTTGGAGGGAGCCGCCATTTCAGCTTAAGTAGGAAATCACCCGATCTGGTGATCTTGCGTACACTTTGAAAGTGGTCACCTCAAACCCCTAATATGGATGATACGAATCGGAGGAAACTCTTCGGAATGCATCAGAATTATGGGTTTGGAAGGGAGAGAGTCTCACCTCAGCTTTTAACACGTAGAATCATTCCGGATGACCGAATGACGAACGTGTTAACAGTTTGGAGGGAGCCGCCATTTCAGAGAAAGAAAGGCATTGAAATAACAAGATTATGTATAGAATCATGCTTTATTCTTCGGCACTACTGGCCGAAAAGTACAAGGAAAATAAAGAAGTCAAGAATAAAGTTACAAAGACGAAAGAACTAGTCTAATGAATGGTTGCCGTTCGGGGAAGATTCAGGTTGAGAACGGTCAGTTTGTGCTGCATCATCAGAGATTGCTTTCCGTCTCATCTCCATAACCCGATCATAAGTATTCCCGAACAGGTCATCAAACCCCAATTCATCAGGATCAAATGGCTTGGGGAAGTGTTCCATGATCAGGTCGAGATTCCTATCTACAAGCAGATCTTGACTTTGCTTCATAGTCTTCTCCGTCAGGATATCCAAGAAAGATTTTCGTTCGGGTGTGCTGTTTAGAAGCTCTATCCCTGACTTGATCGGGTCCTCGCTATCATGCAAGAATTGGCCAAGATGAGGTCCCAAGAACTGCCGAGCGGTATTCTCCAGAGCGGCATTCAGCCCTTTTCCCCGCTGGAATTCTATCACAGCTTATTGGGTGATCTTGGAGGTGTTGGCAGTATAAGGCTCGGGAGGATTCTCTCCCTCTGATTTTTCGAACCGAATCCCAGCGGATTCAGCCACTTTCACCTTGGCTTTGAGATCCCTAATTTCCCGATCAAGACGTCGGGCCCTCTCCCCCATCTCCGCTAGATCAGCCTTTGCTTTTTCACCTTGATCAACACAAACTTGCAAATCTGCGGCTAGTTTCCGAGCGGCGGAAAGGAGGACCTGGCTATCTTCCCGATCACTGGCTATACGCTTCATCTCCTGTTCAGCAGCCAGGAAGGCTCGGTGATAGTATACTCCGGCCTGCAAACGGTAACAAATGAAATCAGATAACACATACCGAATCAGAGAAAAATCAAGGATAAAAGGGATTGTTGATTAATATGTACCTTGAGAGTCTCCAGGGGACCTGCCTCGACCAGGTCTGACCAATGGGTCAGAGTAGAAAAACTGGGCGGAACCTTCAGGGAGGTACTGCACCACATGGAGGACGACATCTGCCCGAACAAGTACCTTCCCTCTGCTCGGGGCCCCAAATTGGAGAACTCCACGAACATCCGATCGTCGATCGGTGTGTTGTTAAGAAATGAAGTCTGGGGCTGGGCAGGGATGACAGGTTTAGCCAGCTTGTCGTCCGGACTGGTCAAATCAACCACATGATCAACCTGGATCAGTGTGCTGCCATCATTCCCTCTAAGTTTTTTTCGGGTTTGTTCAGCAGATGCATGATCGGCAACCATCTTCTCCTTGCCTTTTCCCGAGGAGGCAGTTGGAGTAGCGGCAGATATGGAACGCCGAACGGGTATAAGAGATATCACACCTACAAAAGAGGAAATAAGAGATAAGAAACTGAATTAAAAGAAGTTCGATCGGGTTAAAAATAAATGAACTTACCGATCCCAGCAGCCAACATTTTGGAAGGGTTAATAAAACCCCGGAGACTCCGAGATCTTCCCAGATGCAATGATTCGGCTTGAGAACGCAGAACGGAATCCAGTCTGGGCTCAGAATCCCGAACAGGATAAGCCAGTGGTGACTCCTGAAAGATGGGGTCGTCACTTCTTCCTCTAGACATCTGCAAAAAATAAAGTAAAAAAAAATTAAGGTTAGTTTTTTTTTTAATGGGTGGCCTCCCAATGAACACTTCTTTAACGTCACTAGCCTGACGAATTTCCTCCTTTGATTCAAAATTTCTGGAGATAGAGAATCTCCTTGATTTTTTCGACCGGGCTACCATGGTAAAGTTTGAGTTGGTGGCCATTGACTTTAAAGGGACCCCCGTTTGCATCTTCGAACTCGATGGTTCCATAGGAGGTAAGTTTTCACGACTGTGAACAGTCTGGACCATCTTGATTTGAGTTTGCTTGAAAAAAGTTTTATACGGGAGTTGAACAGTAGCACTTTATCCCCAACGTTGAAATCACGGGCCTTGATGTGTTGATCATGGTAGAGTTTGGCCCGTTCTTTGTAAAGTTTGGAGTTATGAAAAGTTTGCGCTCTCCACTCATCCAGTTCATTCAGCTAGTAAAATCGTTCTTTCCCTACAGCGTCAAGTTTAAAACACACACTTTTCATCTCCCAAAGTGCTTTATGTTCGAGTTCAATGGGTAAGTAGCAAGACTTCCCGTATACAAGGCGAAAAGGTGTGGTTCCGATTGGGGTTTTGTACACAGTCCGAAATGCCCAAAGTGCGTCGTCAAGTTTAGTCGACCAGCCTTTCCTGGTCTGGGCAACATTTTTCTCCAAAATGAACTTCAAATCCCTGTTAGCGTTCTCAACCTGCCCCTGAGTTTGAGGGTGGTACGCTACTCCGCTCCGATGCTGGACTCCATATTTGGCCAAAATTCTGGCCATTGGATCATTGTGGAAATGAGTCCCTCTGTCACTGATCAAAACCCTAGGTACACCAAATCTAGTAAACAAGTTTCTCAAAAAATTTACGACTACTCGAGAGTCGTTGGTGACGCAGGCCTGGGCTTCAACCCACTTAGAAACATAATCAATGGCCACAAGAATGTATTTGTTTCCTCTTGAGCTGGGGAAAGATCCAACAAAGTCGATGCCCAAACATCAAATACCTCACAAGGTAAGATAAAGTGTTGGGGCATCTCATTGCGCCCAAAAATATTCCCGATTCGCTGACAGTTATCACAAGAGGAAACAAATACATTAGCATCTTTAAAAATCGTGGGCCAGAAGTACCCACAGTCCAGAACCCGTATGGCTGTTCTATTCCCTGAAAAGTGGCCCCCAGTAGGGCCGCTATGACAATGATTCAGTATGTCTCTTCCCTCAGGTTCAGTAACACATCTTCTCACCACCTGGTCAGCACAAATTCGGAATAGATATGGATCATCCCAAAAATAGTTCTTTGCTTCTGACAAGAACCGCCTCGTCATGTGCCTTGTTAGGTCTGTAGGCTCGACGTTACCAACAAGGTAGTTGGAAATGTCTGCATACCATGGTGTTTGTTTATTGGCGGATATTGCCATCAACCTGTCCGCAGGAAAAAGTTCCTCCACTTCGCATTTTCCAAAGGTTTCTGCTAATTTGACATCTAACCTCGAAAGGTGATCAGCTGCCTGATTAGCAGACCCTTTCCGGTCCCTGATTTCAATATCAAATTCCTGCAACAAAAGAACCCAGCGTAATAGTCTAGGCTTAGCATCATGCTTTTGGAGGAGATATCTAATGGCCGAATGATCGGTATAGATAATAACCTTCGAAAGAATGATGTAAGTCCTAAACTTCTCTAAAGCACAAATAATAACAAGAAAATCTTTTTCAGTGGTGGTGTAGTTCAGTTGTGGCCCTGACAGAGTTTTGCTAGCGTAGTAGATTGGGTGGAAGTTCTTGTCCTTCCTTTGGCCGAGAATGGCCCCCACTACTAAGTCACTAACGTCACACATGAGTTCAAAAGGTAAACTCCAATCCGGGGCCACGAGTACTGGAGCATTGATCAGTTGTGTTTTAAGTGTTTGGAAAGCTTGGTGACATTCATCAGAGAATATAAAAACCACATCTTTTCAAGTAATTGAGTGAGAGGTTTTGCGATTTTAGAGAAATCCTTTATAAAACGACGATAAAAGCCCGCATGTCCCAGGAAGCTGCGGATGCCTTTTACCGTGGTTGGTGGAGGAAGTTTCTCTATTGTTTCAATTTTCGCACGGTCAACCTCGACCCTGTTACTTGACACTTTGTATCCAAGTACTATACCCTCTTTCACAAGGAAGTGACATTTTCCCCAACATAAGGCTAAGTGGGTTTCCTTGCAGCGGATAAGTACTTTTTCCAGATTTTCAAGGCATTTTTCAAAGGATTCCCCAAAAATAGAGAAATCATCCATGAATACCTCCATGAAGTGGCCAATGTATTTTTCAAATATGGCAATCATGCACCTCATGAAGGTGGCAGGGACATTACAGAGACCAAAATACATCCTACGAAAAGCAAAGGTCCCAAAAGGGCATGTGAATGTAGTTTTGTCTTGGTCTTCCAGGTTGATATGAATTTGGAAGTATCCAGTCATGCCATCCAGGAAACAATAATGATTATGGCCTGCCAATCTCTATATTAATTGATCGATGAAGGGGAGGGGAAAATGGTCCTTCCGGGTGGCTTCATTTAGTTTGCGGTAAGCAATTACCATTCGCCACCCGGTAACAGTTCGACTGGGCAGTAGTTCGCCCCTTTCATTTTTCGTGACAATCATTCCCCCCTTTTTGGGGACAACATGAATTGGGCTTACCAACTGGCTATCAGAGATGGGGTAAATGATACCCGCATCCAGCAGTTTGACGATTTCAGCACACACTACTTCCATCATGTTTGGGTCCAAACGTCGTTGTGGTTGGACGACAGGTTTAAACCCTTCCTCGATCTTGATGGTGTGGGTACAAAAGGTGGGACTTATTCCATTCATGTCCTCATGTTTCCAAGCAATTGCTTGCTTGTGTGTCTTAAGGACTCCAAGTAATTTGTCCCTTTGTTCCCCACTTAAGTGTGCGGCGATGATGACATGGCACTTGCCTTCGTCATCCAAGAATGCATATTCTAAATGGTCAGGAAGTTTCTTTAGTTCGAGGGGGCTGTCATTTCTTAAGTTTTGTTCATTTTTCTCCCCCTCGAACTCAGTCAATACTTCGTGAGAAGCTTGCTCAATTAGCGCATCCTCACAACTCTCACATGCATCATTCATGTCACTGTCGGCTTCTTTTAACAGACATGCTTCATCACTTACATGTCCATTCTCTTCCCCAAACAGATACCCTTCAATTGATTCGAAAGTATCAAGAAAATGACATCCTTGAAAGGAATCTGTGGGGTGTTTCATAACATTTGAGAGTCGGAAGGTGCATAAATCATCTCCAACTCTTAGAGTTAGTGAGCCATCAGTGACATCAATCAAGGCCCTGGTGCTAGCCAAAAAGGGCCTTCCCAGATTAAGAGGTGTTTCCCTATCCTCTTCCATGTCCATTACTACAAAGTCGACTGGGTTAATGAATTTGTCAACCTTGACCAAGACATCTTCAACAATTCCTTTCGGATATTTGACTGAGCGATCAGCCAATTGAAGACACATCCTGGTGGGTTTCATTTCCCCAAGTCCTAGCTTCTCGACTATAGAGGAAGACATCAGGTTGATACTCTCCCCTAAGTCAACTAGAGCACTATTGAAATTGAAATTGTCAATTGAACAAGGGATAGTGAAACTACCTGGATCCTTTAGCTTTTCGGGTATTGACCTTAGAACCACCGCTGAGCATTCTGCATTTAGGTCCACGACTGAGAGCTCCTGCAGCTGCCTCTTGTTTATCAGCAAGTCCTTGAAGAACTTGGCATATTTGGGCATCTCTGCCAAGGCATCCATCAACGGCAGGTTGACGTGGAGTTGTTTGAGTAGGTCCAGGAATTTGTTGTATTTCCTGCTATCGTCATCATTTCTAACCCGTGAAGGAAACAGGAGAGAAGGTTTGAAGATAGTGACCCTTGCGTTAGGGCTTGTTGGCTCCATGCTCTTCTCAGTTGGAGCATGAGTATGTTTCTCAGGTGTCATGGTTGGTGTCTCCTCTTCTTCGTTGTTCTTTTGCTTGACGTCGGCTGTTTGTCTCCCACTTCGGAGAGTGATAGCTTGCACATGTTCACGGGGATTTGGTTCTGTAGTGCTAGGCAAGTTTCCAGGCTGACGACCGGGAACATTATTCTGAGTAATTTGCATCATCAGAGTTTTGATCTGATTGTCAGTGCTAGCCTTGTATTTTGCCATCTCCTCCCGTGTCCTTGCTAGTTCAGCTACCAGCAAGCCTATCTCCGAAGTTTGGGCCGCCTCTGTTTGTCGTATATATGGAGGCACATAAACCTGATTGTTCTGGTTGATTGGTTTAGTGCCCCTCCCTGGTTCCGTGCTTGGAAGTTGTGCCCTTCATTGTTGTTGTTGGGGTAGTTCTGGTTACCTTGGTAACCGCCGCGAGGAGGACCATTGTTGTAATCCCCCCGCCATTGGTTACCCTGGTAATTTCTCCCTTGGTAATTTTGAGGAGGGTAATTTGTGTTACCCCCCTGTTGCCTTGATTTGCTCATGGTCCTTGTTTCGTTCGGCCATATTCCA